GCCAGTGAAGCAACGTCCTCCACAACTAGACTGAAGAACAAAAGGACAGCAACTTGTCTGTTCCCCTTCTCCCAATTCCCCAGCGCTGTTCCCATCTCCCCAATTCCCCAATAAAAATCTTTAAAAAAAAAAAGTATAATTCAACTTGCTTTGGAGTGTATTTGGATGACCTGAGTTTATCTATGTTCAGTAATGTTAAGTTCTAGGATAAAATGTGTTTATACCTTTGGAAATAGAAAATACATTTTTTAATCTTTAATCTGCTTTGGTTAAAAAAATCATATTTTAGATTGGTCTGGAGGTTAGCAAATAAATGTGATTTGTTCAAAATGTTGTGTCATGGTTCAGTTTTGTTCAAGTTACTCTTATGCATGACACCAAAGCTTCACTGAAAAAAGATTACTCCTGCAGAAAAAAGTTGGAAGTGGAATATTTGTCATCAATAATTTATATTGCCACAAGGTTATAAAACTGATATCTTTACACAAATTCTGAGTAAAACATAATCAGAGTAGTAAAAAATAACCAGTTCACCATTATTAAAACCTGGGAAGACCCCTGCGTCAGCAGAGTGGCTGGTTGGTTAAGAGTTGGCTTGGGAGCGCCAGCTCTGAGCAGCAGGGCTGCTGGTTTGGATCCCACATGGGCCAGTGATGCTGCGCCCTCTACAACTAAGATGGTGAACAACAGCTCTACTTGGAGCTGGGCTGCAGTGAGTTGCCTGCGATGGCGTAGGCTGCAGCAGAACTGCAGCGTGCTGCCGTAAGCTACCATAAGCTACCATGAGTGGCTGGCAGCCAGCATGAGCCAATGGCAGCCGCCATGAGCTGCTGTGAGTGGTGGTCCAATGGCCGGTGACCAATCTGCCTCAGCTGGGAAAAGCACAATGATCACAATACCAACATAGGCCAGTGAAGCAACGTCCTCCACAACTAGACTGAAGAAAAGGACAGCAACTTGTCTGTTCCCCTTCCCCGATTCCCCAATGCTGTTCCCCTCCCCCAATAAAATCTTTAAAATAAACAAACAAAAACCTGGGAAGACTTACTAACAAATTCAACATAAACAAAAGAAACTTCAGGATCTTACCCACATCAACTGAGACAATTTTATGGCTAATTTGTTTCTGAAGCAAGGCAAATTGTTCTGGGCACTGACTTTATGGCATTGGGTGATCATAATGCTGTGCTCACTTCAAGGGCCAGTCCTCTTCCTCTCATTTTTCTGTTTTATTTTTCTCCTCTAATGTAGTCTTTGAAAACTTTATACAGAAAAAAATAAGGAGGAAAATGCAGAGAAAATGATTTTCTGAAATTTCCTTTCAAAACGGGTAGGTAGGATATTTGAAATGGAAGAGAGAATATGTGTGAACATAATCTAGTATGAAGGAAAGCATCACTGATAATGATAAGTACGTTTTGAGGGACATGAAATAAGAGATGATATGCGACCAGATTTCTCTTCCAACAACAGAAAGTATATTGAAAGGAACTTAGTAAATAGGCTATGAAGTCTTAAAATGAGTTTTAAAAAATTCAGTGTAATATGTGGTATTTGCTTATTACATAGTTTTTTTCGTTTTTTTTTTTTTTTAAAGCATTTTCACTATAATTCCCTTTAATCTTCACAACCACTCTGTGAGGCAGGTTGAGGCGGCCTTGCCTTTTCATCCGCAGAGGGGAGATGGAGACGCTGGGATAGGCCCCAGGCAGGGCTGCCACGGGACCGCGGGGTCACCCCTAGATCAGGGGACCAGTACTGTCCACTCCGGCTCAGCTGACAACGGTCTCTGGGATCTCACAGCCAGGGAAGTGAGAGGCTCGCGAGAGACTGTGCTCCCCCAGAGGTCCCGCTTCCAAGCTCATATTCCTGCCCACATCCTGCGGTGAGTGCCAGCCGCTCTCAGGGAAATGTTAAGGTCCACGACCAGGTGGTGCTCAAGGGTACTACTGGCTTTGTGGCATCAGAGTGATCTGGGTTTGAATCCCCAGACCTTCTTTTAAAGTGCTTGACTTTAGGCAATCTCCCTGAGCCTCAGTTTCCTCATCTGGAGAGCGGGGCATGCTTTGATTTTTCCCAAGAGGTTTAGTGACGATTACATGATATAAAACAATAAAAGTGTTAGCCTACTGCCTGGGTCGAAGAAAACGCTGTTGAGCTGATGGCTATAAATACTAGCTCTGGGATTGGAAGGTCACCATCTCTACCGACTTGGAGAATGTCCATCTGCAAAATGGGCGCAATGTAGAGCTCAGTCTTTTAATAGCAAATATTACTTTGCCAAACAAAACTACAACAAAATCCCCACTGTCCTCCCCTGCGCTACTCTACTCTGAATGACCTGTGTTTCCAAAAAGTGGGGGCTGGAGAAGCGGATCCAGAACCTAAGGAACCATTATCGACCAGGGAAATTAAAAAGCGAGAAGGCAGGACAGGGTGAGGTAGGGATAGGAGAGGGGAAGGCAAGGAAGGTCTGCTCGGAAAAGCTGCGATCCCAGTCGCAGCCAGGTGAACTGCCCGCGCCCATAACTGGGCGCCGAATCCTTTGCTGGGACGAGGTAAACGGGCCCCCAGGACCAGGAGTGGGGCACTGGGCAAGAAAGCGGAGAAGGAAGGGGGAGGGTCTCTAGGGCTAGGGGCGGACCTACAGGAGCTCGAGGGGCGGGGCTGTGGCATCGGGGGCGGGGCCAAGGGCGGGGCCTCGCAGAGTTGCACAGCTGCGCGCGCCACGTCTCCCTTAGCTTGCGGGTGGAGAGAGGGAGTGAGGGGCGGTACCTAGTGGCAGGAACTGCCTCTTCTCGCGAGAGCTGGCCGCGGCAGTGAGTGTCGCGGCTTGTCGGAGAGAGTAACGTGGGTGGGGGCAGGGAGGACAGGCGGCGTCGCGCGTGCAAGCTACGCCACACGGGGCCGGGAAGCTGGGAGCCGGATCCCAGAGGGGGTCGTGGTGGCGGCGGTGATAGGAGGGAGGCGGAGGAGGGGGTGCCATGGCGGGGCAGCAGTTCCAATACGATGACAGCGGGAACACCTTCTTCTACTTCCTCACCTCCTTCGTGGGGCTCATCGTGATCCCGGCCACATACTACCTCTGGCCCCGAGACCAGAATGCCGGTGAGTCCCGCTGGCAGCTGGCCGAGGACCCGCTCAGGCCCCGCCGGCGCCTCCGGGCCGCGCCGCGCCGCTTCAGCCCGGCTCGCCGTGTCCGGGGTGATCCCGCCCGCGCGGCCCGGCCTCGCGTCCAGGCGCCTGCCACTGGCGGGGCCCGGGCTCGGTGTTGCCCTCGGTGCCTCTCCGGGCGCCTCGCCACCACCCTTCATTGTCCTGCTCAGGAGTTTTGCTTCGCACCCTCTTTCCCCATTGTTCTGGACACTCTTCGCAGCCTCCACCTGCCTCTTTGTCTTCTCTGCCTCTGGTTTTATTGGGTATTTTTCTTTATGGAGGGAGCAGGATGGGATGGGGAGGATGGGAATTGGGAGGTGAGGAAAGAGTTGGCAAAAGAGGGAGCCGAAGGCACCACTCTGAGCCCCCAAGCCACGACCCTCTTCCGCCCACACCCTCGTTTCCCTGTTGCAGCTGTCGTTACAGATGTTTTGGGCCCCGTCTGAGCTGGGTGGCATGTTTAGGATTCCAACGGAGATCCCCAGTCGCCCCTCCCCCTGGCCTTTCCCCCAGTTGTTCTTTCATTTGTTAACTCACTTGCGGTGATTGGAAGCAATGCTGCTATTCCCCTTAGCAAAAATAGGCTTTTCTGTATTTCCGTTTCCTTGGCGTTTCCTGTGTATGGCGGAAAAAGTGCAAGTATGAAGGATTAAAAGCCTTGTAGGTAGTTCACCTTGTGGGTAGTTGTGAGGTAGCTGGTCCATTTGTTTTTACTTCTAAATCTTCACATTAAACAACATCGGATTAGAGCACAGAATGATATAGATTCTTGTCAAGGCATTTTTTTTTTTTGTTCGGGTAAAGCTTGGATTCCATTTGTTGCACTCTTCGGGGACATACGGCAGGTGACAGTCCAAAAGCTGATGGAGCTGCAAAGCCCTAATTGGTTATTTACAGAGGCATTAACAGTAACTTGTAGGTTTTGAGTTATTAACATTTAGGAAAGCTTTCTGTTTCACAAGAGCTATACTAACTTGATTAAGTATCTTCTCTCAAATTTGGTGTGGTGGAGGTCTAGGTTGCCTAGGTTACACAGGTATACTGTACTTTGGGGAAATTGTTAACACTGAAGCATTGAATCAGCTCAGAACTTATGCTTTAAGACTGATTCGTTTCTCTGTAAAATTCTTGAGTTACATAATGGAACTAAATTAAATGTAGGATAAATAATAAAGGATTCCATCTTTTTGTAAATTTAATAATAATAAAAATATCCGGTAGGTGCAAAAATCTGCCGAAAGTTACTGGTTTTCTCATTCAGTGGATAGTTTATGAAAACTGGATTTTGGTCTGTTGTGCCTTTTCCCCCCTAAATTTATTTAAATTGGTTTCTTTGGACAGCAGTTGTGTGTGTATAAGTGATGAAGTCCTAATACTGTAATGGTTTCCCTTATCTACAACACCTAGGCCATTCTGGTAATTTTATTTCAAGTTAAAAAGAGTGCACTTTTCAGTATAATAGTTTATTTTCACTTAACACCCATTTGTGTGCGCAGTTGGTTGTGTGGAAGACAAAAGGATATTGGGAGAGTAAGTAGATTTGGGTATAGGGTATTTCAAAAAGTTGCCTGATTTCAGAAATTAGTCATCTTAATCTACACTGGATTTTTGAAATTTGAAGGTTATGTTTTCATGGTGGGTTTTGTATTATAAAATTTGCTTGATAACTTATATCATAGGCAAGTCATACTTGAGCCCCTTCAGCATATAGTTAGTCTTTGGAAAAGTGGTAGGGAATTAACATTGACTGTAAGCCATGGACTTCAAATGTTACTTTATTTAGTCCTCTTAAAAATACAACTAAGTTGTTACTGTTATTATCACCTTCATTCTTACATGAAGAACCTGGAGTTTGGAGAGCTTAAGTAACTTTGCTGTGTGGTGGAGCCAGGTCTATTTAGTTGCCAAGCCCTCTATTGTTTCCATATTGCTAGATAGAAAGTTAAGTGTTAACCTGCCCCCTTCTTCACTGCTTCAGACTTGCCTTAGTCAGTAAATGTGCATATGTTGATGTATTTGTTTGGTCTTGCCCCAAATTGCATTATAAAAATTAAGGTGGATGCTTAAATGCTGTTCTAATCATCATGAAAATTGGTAGACACCACTTGGATTTTTTTTGTGTGTCTACCATAATAACTTGAGTTGTTCCTTTAAAATTACTGTGGTATTAAAAGATGTTTTTATCATAGTGACTTTTTTCTAAAGCCCAGTTGCAGTGTCTTGAATACCAAAGAGAAATCTTGAATTATAGGTTCACCCAAAGCTGTGGAAGAAAGTTTTATCAGATTTTTGCAGCGAGATAATTTGGTGATTTGTACTGTCAGGAGGCTACTTATGAGTATGAACATACGTAGGGGTGCATATATTTTTTTGAATTAGTGTTTTGGATTTCTTCAGATAAATACCCAGAAGTAGAATTGCAGGATCATATGGTAGTTCTGTTTTTAGTTTTTTGAAGACCCTCCATGCTATTTTCCATAGTGGCTGCACCAGTTTACAATCCTACCAACAGTGCACAACAGTCCACATCCTTACCAACACTTGCTTGTATTGATAATAGCTGTTCTGACAGGTGTGAGGTGATATCTCATTGTGGTTTTGACTTGCATTTCCCTGGTGATTAGTGATGTTGACCATCTTTTCATGTGTCTGCTGGCTATCTGTATGTCCTCTTTGGAGAAATACTTACGTCCCCTGCCCATTTTTTAATTGGATTATTTGTGATCTTAATTTTTCAAAACTTATTGACCTTAATTCTTGGTCTTAGTTTTTCAAAACTGCCTGGTTTTGAAATCTGGATCTGCCGCTTACTCACTGTGTAATCTTAGACAAGTTATTTAACTCCAATGTGTTTTAGTTTACTCATCTGTAAAATAGAGACAGTAGTTATCTGTTTCCTACAATTAAAGTTAGGATTAAACAAATTGATACATGCAAAGTGTTAGAGCAGTGTCCGGCACATAGTAGGGCTATTAGCCCCTGTTTTTCTGGTTATATAGTCTCTCTGGAATAATTTGATTTGGAACCTAAGTACTCATTTTTTAAAATTATTATTTGGAAGGATTAATGGAACTTTTAAAAAAAAGTTGCATTTCTTTATTCTTCTTTGCTTGCTCCCTCTCAAATGGTGTACAAGTGCGTCAGCTTTCTGACTTGGGAATGTGAGTAGGAGTCCACTTTTAGTGCTTAGTAGTATAGTAAGAAAACTCTGAGTTTGAAAAGTTAGATTTTGGTTTTATGTTCCAGCCTAGTCCCAATTTAGTTATTTCTGAACTCTCAGCCTCATTTTCTAGGGTAATAATAATAACCTGCCCTACCACCCAAGAAGTGATTATGAGAAGCAAATAAATAAATGCTTATAAACATGGCTTATAAAATTAAATACACTGTAGAAATTGCTTCATTTAGCCCATATTTATAGAGCATAAACTTGGTGCTAGATGCTGCTTCTAGGTGATGGATCAGATTTTTAAGTGCATTTAACTTTTTTCATAATAAGTTGCATATTCCCAATGCAGAAAAACACAAAGAAACAGAACAAAAATTGCTTGTCATTCCATCACTTAAGGGTAATCAAACATTTTGGTCTATGCAACCCCCTTCTTGTTCCCTGTGGGGATGACTTTAGACTCAGCCCCTCCTCTTGTGAGGGACCCACATCCCCCTCTAGTATGAGAGAATTGTGATCCGCCTCATCCCAGTTCCGCTGCTCTTCATTGAATGTTTACTAGCCTCATGGTGGGTAGTGCTAAGTGCAATCACAGTAGCACTTTGAGCTATACTCATGTACTATCCCAGTTTTGTTAATGAAAAAATTGAGCTCTAGGGGAGGTAACTCACTTGCCTAAAACTAAATAGCTACCAGGTAGAAGATTGGGTGTTGGACCCAAATCTGTCTTATGCCAGAGCTGTTCTTGTTAGCCACTACTTACTCTGTACCGCCTCCTGTAATTAACCTAACATGTTATAATAAGTATTAAAATGGCAAGTGCAAAGTGCTGTGTGTGCATAGAGGAAGGAGTGAATAATTCTGTTTTGGAATTTGGGTGTTCCATGCCAAGGAGGTAATTTGTGATAGGTCTTAAAAGGTAACTGGGAGAAGCACATTCTGGATATAGAGGAAAGCATGTGCAAAAGCATGGAGATGTTCAGTGAATGATAAAAATGTAATGTGATTGGCACTTAGGAGCAAATTAGCTATTGTAGTAGGTATATACTTTATCCTGTAAGTTATTGGGAAAACAACAGGGGTTTTTAAGTAGGTTTACAACATGGTCAGTTTTGCTTTTGTGGAGCATTGTGTGAAGAATGAGTTGGTGGAAGGGGGTTGGGAGATGGTGGTGGCTGGATGGGGAAAAAGTAGATGGAGTAGTCCATTTCAGTGGATGAGTCCATTTTAGGGTTTATTAGTCCATTGAGAAGTCAGGATGTAGGGGAATGGACAGATTAGAAAGAGAATTCTAAGATAGCTTGGGCTATTTATGGAATATAAATACTATGGCAGGAATGAAAGAGTGGAGTGCAGATTTTGAATTTTCATTCATCTCTGTCTTTACTTACTTTACTTACTCGTATTTCCCTTTTTCTTAAAAGCTGTTTGGTGATTGGCCCAATAACCCATTAACATTTATCAGTTTTGAGGATTGAGTGCCAGGGAAAGGATGGGGATAAACATTTTTATTTGAAGTGAAATGTTGGTCTATCTGTTGATTTAGTTTATCTAGGTGATTTCTAATTATGGTGGAGTTGATTACCTCAATCTTCTGGTGAGTGAATTTTTTGAGATTTTTTTTTTTAAACAGAAAAAACTGGCGAGTATCAGCTTTGTGTTCAATGGAATATATTTTATGAATGTGCATATTCAATTCAATGTGCATATAGTCTTCCTAAGACTTTAGATCTTGAAGGGGTGTTAGAAATCTGCAAAGTTTCAGTCGTTTTAAAATAGTCAT